TCGGAAGCTCCGCCCGTACTTCCAGGCTCACACTGTTATCATTCTCACTGACAAACCTCTGAGGCAAGTCTTACTTAAACCCGAGGTCTCTGATCGGCTAACAAAGTGGGTCGTTGAGCTCAACAAGTACGATCTCCAATACAAGCTGCGAACTGCCATTAAGGCCCAAGCCTTAGCAGATTTCATCGCCGAGTGCACGTTCAGCTCTGAAGCCCCCAGGCCGGTTGAGCACGTGGCTCCCAACTCGGGTGAGCCCGAAGCTCCCAGGCCGATTGAGTCCGAGCCCCGTAAGGTAGCAACCAGTGTGGCATCTCTCCTAGTTCAGCCAAGCCCGAGCTGGGATGAGGAGCCTTGGATCCTTCACGTGGATGGCTCCTCGAACCAACAGGGCAGCGGAGCAGGAATAGTTCTGCACGGCCCAAGTGGCACGAAACTGGAGTACGCGCTATGCTTCGGGTTCGCGACATCTAACAATGAAGCGGAGTACGAGCCGTTGATAGCTGGACTAGCTCTAGCCAAAGATGTAAAAGCCAAGCACATTGTTATCTGCAGCGACTCCCAGCTTGTGGTCAACCAGGTCACCGGCGAATACGAAGCTCGCGAGCCAACCATGACCGCCTACTTAGCCAAAGTCAGAGAGGCCCTACTCAACTTCCACTCACACTTAGAAGTATTTTTGCACTCAGAGATACTCGAAAGAAACTATATTTCATTAAAAAGAGAGTTCATGTACAAGAATTTTTACCCGAGCTCAAAGGCTCAGGATAGTACATTCGCAGTTCAGAAAGGGAAAAGATTAAGTTACAAATATAAAGAGCAAACTACTTCAGGGGCTCGCCGCCTCTATTAAGGACCCCCTCGGGGACAATATCTGGACCGGCATTCTCTGCTCCATCTTCGGCGCCCTCATCCTCAGAATTGGGGTCATCTTTTGACTGACGCACGATGTCGCCAGTAATCCGCGAAGTAGTGATGGCGCTCGTGTCCAGCTCGGGGTAGAGGTGCCTAATCAGCCACCGACTGAGCTTGAAGCCCTTACGATAGGCCTTCGTCATCACGTGGTCGAATCTCGAAGAGTTGACGTAGTCAATGATGGCCTAAGTCTTGGCCTCCTCGAGAGCACCCTCGAAGATCGCAGTCTTCTCCCTTATGTCCTCCACTTCATGCTCCAGCTTCCCCTTTGCCTCCTTGAGGCCTTGTACCTCGAGCTTCAGGGCATCCGCTCAGCCTTGAGGCTGCTCACCTCGAGCCCTAAGGCCTCCTGACCGACCTTGAGGCCGTTCACCTTGGCCCTCAACTTGTCTTTGTCTCGAGCCAGCTCCCCCTTCTCTGACATTAACATCTCGATGAAGCTCTTTTGAACCGAGGCGTCACTCTCCAGGCGGTGAACCTGACAACGAGCTGCCCTCAACTTAGTATGGATTGCGCGAGATGATTTCTCAACCTCCCGAGCCCGCCTCAGATGCCGATCTGATTGGAGGGTCAAGGTGCGAATGGCGGAGTTCACCTGCAAAAGAGAGAACCGGTTAAGAGGGAACCGACAAAAAAAAAGGAGAGAAATAAAAAGAAAAAGAAGGGGGACTCACCACCATAGTATGAGTGGCAGCTCGGGCGCCGAGCTGACCAGGAGTGAGTTCGGCCCACTTGCTGACCTCCCCCGAGTATGCAGCCAACTTACTCTTCTTCAGGCTACACTGGGGGTTCAGGATGGTTTGGCTCCCTTGACCCTTCGAGCTGGAAGCCATCATCTCCACATCGCGAGTGGAACTCTCAGAGGCCTCGGCGGCAGCTTCGGCAGGATGAGCCCCGGCAGCAGCAGTGTTGGCCTCGGCAGCGCTTTCTCTAGCAAGTCTGGTGGGCTTGGCAGCAGGCTCGGTGGGCTTAACGGCAGGTTCCGCCATCACCTCAGGCCCCTTAGGCACAACCCCCTCTTCCAAGTCGATGACGAGCACGACTGCCACCTTGGGCCCCGAGGCAGAAGTCTG